TATCACCTAAAAAATCCCAAAAATTCGTCCCAAAACCCCCCACATTTCACCCCAAGAATCTCCAAATTTTATCCCAAAACATCTCAGATTTCACCGCAAAAATTCCCACATTTCACCCCCAAAAATCCTCAAATTTCACCCCAAAAATCCCAAAATTTCACACTGGAACTGCCCCAGTCCCAAGGGCATTTCTGGGGTTTACAACCTGGAGTAGCCCAGGGGTAAATTCCAGTTTAACCCCGATATAAATCCCAGTTTAGCCCCAGAGTAAATCCCAGTTTAACCCCGGTACAAATCCCAGTTTAACCCCAGAGTAAATCCCAGTTTAACCCCAGAGTAAATCCCAGTTTAACCCCAGTTTAACCCTGGTGTAAATTCCAGTTTAACCCCGGTACAAATCCCAGTTTAACCCCAGAGTAAATCCCAGTTTAACCCTGATATAAATCCCAGTTTAACTGCAGTGTAAATCCCAGTTTAATCCCAGTTTAACCCTGGTATAAATCCCAGTTTAACCCCGATATAAATCCCAGTTTAAGGCCAGAGTAAATCCCAGTTTAACCCTGGTATAAATCCCAGTTTAACCCCAGAGTAAATCCCAGTTTAACCCTGGTATAAATCCCAGTTTAACTGCAGTGTAGATCCCAGTTCAACCCCAGTTTAACCCCGGTATAAATCCCAGTTTAACCCCGGTATAAATCCCAGTTTAACCCCTGAGTAAATCCCAGTTTAAGCCCAGTGTAGATCCCAGTTTAACTCCCAGTTGAACCCCGGTGCAGATCCCAGTTTAACCCTGGTGCAAATCCCAGTTTAACCGTGGTACAAATCCCAGTTTAACCCTGGTACAGATCCCAGTTTATCCCAGTTTAACCCTGGTGCAGATCCCAGTGCAGATCCCAGTTTAACCCAGTTTAACCCAGTTTATCCCAGTTTAACCCCGGTGCAGATCCCAGTTTATCCCAGTTTATCCCAGTTTATCCCAGTTTAACCCAGTTTATCCCAGTCCAGCCCCACCTCGCGGTTGTACTGCCGGTAGTAGTCGCGGTATCTGTTGTAGTCGTAGTCGCGGCCGTAGAACCGATCGTCGTAGCCCCGGTAGCGCTCGTAGAAGTTCCGGTAGCCCTGGGGGCGAGGGAGACCGGTTAGAACCGGTTAGAACCGGTTAGAACCGGTTAGAACCAGTTAGAACCGGTTAGAACCAGTTAGAACCAGTATAAACCTGTTTGGACCACTTAGAACCAATCGGAACCAGCACAAACCGGTTCAGACAAGGACAAAACGGGAAAGGATGGTAAAAATGTTCATTTTCCTGGAAATGCCCCCAA